CTGCAACCTACCTACTTCCTTCCATCTTTCCTAGTTCTTCCAACCCCTACCAGCATTTGAGAAATTCTAGCGGTCCAGAAAAATGAGCCTAGAAAAATTTCTCTCGGACGCAGCATGGCTATACACGACCCCCCTACCCGCTAATTGGTCACTGATAAAACCTGACGAAGTGTGGTAGGGTTAGGGAACTCGGGAGGTGGTAGAAGGTAGGAAAGTTGCAAAAGGGCGTCGAGTGAGTTTGTTTGAGCGAGGTCCTAGTGGAAGAGGAATTGAGGATCACCGCTCAGTTGGTGGCTCGTCGGACGCCCCGACGATAAGCGCACCCATGAGTGAGGTAAAATGCCTGGTCCGACTCCGCCCATGCGATCATCGTAAATTGTGCCTTCGACTGTACATTACTCTAGCGTGAAAGTCTATGCAGAATCTCAACAAGGATATTTGTAAATGAAACCTAATCTATTACAGGATGTTAAACCAGTCCATCACTTGCAAAGACGGTCTCATCCTACCGGCACTTTCGGTCTCAACTGGACATGCAGCTCTATACCTTTTTGGTCTACTTTACAGCTTTCTGGGTATTTCCATAGCGGCCGATGTTTTCATGTGTTCCATTGAAAAGATCACCAGTGCTACGAGGTAAGAAATCCTATAATCCAGTTAGTAAGTAACGCAAGATTGAAATGAAATAATGGGCGTCTGTAGTAGAGGGGAGAGGGAGAGGTCTAGGCAGAGGTGGGGCTAACGTGACCTAAATAGAAGTACAGTCCTTTGAAGGCAGTTGGCGCGATAAGTCCCTAAGACGAGTAGGATTCCCTACGCCTGGCAGGATGGAATTCCGCGGCCCTGAGCAGGCGCTGCGAACCGAATTATCGTGCCAACCGCCTTCAAAGTGCTCCAACAGCACAGGACAGGTACAGCACCACAATCTGTGAAGTGGCGGTCAGGCGGTCAGACCGGCCCTCCCAAATCTTCTTGGTCATGGCGGAGCCCTCCCCCCTTCCCACCTTACGAAGTTTTCTCAAAGTTTTATCTCCAATTTCCCGAAAATTACAGTGTTGGAGCTCTGGAAAAAAAACCATGGATGAAGACAGAGATTTCATCTGGTAGGGGCACAACATAAAACTTCGAGCAAGGGAATAAACTAATCGCGGCTTACTGAACATTCAAAAGGCCAAAAAACGAGAACCCATCCGATCAAGGCAAAAACGAGACCCATCGACTGGATCAAGCCCTTATCTACCTCGACTCACCCAGATCCGTTGCCACAGTTCTACTGCTTGGCAACGGAGCTCCAAAGACTGTGGCCCTCTCCCCAGAGCGTCGTTCTGCGCAGTGATGATATAAAATAATATACAATAATAAAATAACTTAGAAAAATATCCTGGAGCAGTTCCTTCAATCTCCGTATTACTTCCAGAAGAGTTTGTTTAGAAAAGTCAAGAAAAGCCGCGACAAGGGGGTCTTAATGGTTGGCAACGTGTCAGAAGAAGACGATTATGAAGAAGTGAAAGTCTGGAATCCTACTGTAGCGAATCTGACCCTAATGGTGAGTCATCTGTAGGAACAGTTCCCAGCTTAACTAGCTATCAGTTATTAATTGCTTCACAGTAAAATTCCGCTATTGTGAAGAAGAGGCAGAAAGCTGGACGATTTGAGCTTCACTTGAGTTAACAGAATACCATGTCCATGTGTGAGGCAGTGTTTGCCCGCGTGCGGTCGCGTTGCGCCGCTGGGATAACGCACCTCTGTGCTCAGAACATCGACTGCGCTGATTAATGTGCCATTAATTAGCGCAGTTAGTGTTGCTTTCAATGAACTATACCGTGCTTATTCCTAAACAGAACCAGGGGATAGAAAGTAACTATCCATGTTCTCTTGAGTGTCCGGAATGATTTCTATACCGCATCGCGACCGCACGCGTCAACGGCTTGGTTTCCTTGTAGGAAGTGTGAGCGAGCATTTCCTTCGAACCTTAGCCAAAAGCTACAGATCCACAATCATTATATCTGCAGACGAGTGGACGTGTGAAGGAGCATGAATTAGGGCTGCCCCGGGAGGTCTTTCCCAATGTTTGATGCCATCCTGTACCTGCAACGATTGGTGGGGAAGGGAACTCTGGCAGCCTTCCGATCCACGCCCTCTCGCTTGCAGTTATGGTGACCGGACTAGTATTAACGGCGGAAAAATGAAAAAATAGGAAAAAGGGATGGTGAGAGTGAAATGGAGGAAAGTCAAAAAAATCAGGTGATATAAGTAACCGCTGAATCTCTCGTTTTCTAGGCACTTGGAAGCAGTGCGCCAGAGATTCTTCTGTCTATCATTGAAATCGTGGGACACGGTTTTCGTTCAGGCGAACTCGGCCCCGGAACAATTGTTGGTAGGTATCACTTCTAATTCATTGCCATTTACAGGCGCAGTTCGGCGACGAGAGGGGGGGGGGCATTTTGCGCTTTCACTGCTTCACTACTTCCGGTTTACAAGTCTGGTGAAACTTGTGAACCCTTGTGAAGCTGGAGCAAGCTCGTCTAGCCACCATGGTAAAACGTGTCAACTCGAGAAAGGCTATCTAGATAGGTCGACACATCGATGGGAAGCAAAATGTTCCCCCGTCGCCGAAATGCGCCCCATTCTTCCTTAATTGTGCTATTCCTTTGATAAACTTGTTGGACAGTCCGTGAGTGGCTCTACATAACCGTAATAGTAGGGTTTTGGTCTCTCCTGGTCGAGAAAAGGGTCTGTGACGAATGTAAAACATGAGGTTGGAGGGCTAGACATGGTCCACCAAGACGATCTATTTTTACCATTTTCAGTGAAAAGTCATCAAAGGTAATAGGCGTAGGGGCGGAAGCTGTCCAGTTAGCACCTCCCTCTACAGTATCCCGCCCCCAGGTTCCGTCTTTTCACAGTCTCCCTTACTGGAGAAAAACGATGCAGCACCAACATATACTTCTGGTGCAGAAACGTCTACTCCACAGTACCCGTAGAAGTATTCATGCCCCATGATTTTATATTGGCCAGGAATTGCTAATGCTGTGATGAATTTGAGGCCTGCAGCCATTTCAACCTGTCTCTGATTATCGGCCATCTGTGTGATGGCCGTCGCTTCTCCTGGTGTGAAACGCATCCAAATGTTCAAAGTGTTCATCGTCACGGCGTTTTTCGGTACATTTGCCTACATCTGGATGTTGGTGGTCAGTTTTGATCCGTTTGTTGGACATCCCTTCCGTAGCCGGGCAACCTTTGAAGAACTCGCTTTCAGATTCTCATTTTGATATCACCGGACGTCGTGGAAGTTTGGGAAGCCGCCGTTACACTTGCATTCTTCATAATACTTGTTCATCGTCGCTTACTGTGCTGATGTGGAGGTACTGTTACTGTAAATGATAGTCTCTACCTTTGAGGTAATATGGGCTCAAAGCTCACCACGTAAAGACCCCCCTCAAAGTGGGAGTTGGAATAGGTAGTGCACTGCAGGAAGTGCCTGGAGCTTGCTGAACAAAACTTTGTGCTAATATGTGAACCGTGTGTTGTAACCCATAACCCTATCGCTCTTCATTCTTCCCGCCTCGAACAGTAAGTGTGAAAAGCTGTGCAGTGTTGATAAGAGCGAAGGTTCAATCAAGGCAAGTTTTCAGTGCAGGGTTTCAGCAAGGGCATTACTTGGAAAATTTGGCGCTAATGGTGGAGTTAGAAAATGTTGGAGCCGTTCTTGCTCGAACCTGATCCCCTGTTCGCCCTTGCTCCCCGTGAACTGGGATAAGAGGATTAAATTTTCGTGGGTTAATCAAAAGAGGTATTAGAAGTCGTAAAAAAAGTCGAAATTACCCATAGCCGGCATTGTGGCGAAATGTCTACGGTTCAAGAGCGGGCAGTGCTCAGCACAGCCAAGGTGGAAATGAGCGCAAAATAAGGCGATGTTTGACT